CTGACTGCTTATTGAGAAGGTCGAAACACTTATCGATTTCACTTACATCACTCTACACCATTTTTAGTTCTCGGTCCACCACAAAGAACGGCTTTGAAGCCACGACCAATATCTCTCGACTGACAACCAGACCATCGTGTCTCCTGCACTGCGCAGAGATCGATTCTTCTGCGCTCCAGTGCTTCTGCCAACTCGAATGAGCGCAAGGTCCCAACGTTCAGCGTTGCAAGGCGAGCCTTCCAAACGTTGCCAGACTTTCGGACTAGCCTGGTTGCCCCCCGATGCCGTCCTTGCATCAGGGACCCTCGCATACTTTCCACACTCGCCGGGCCATACGAGTGCGCGTCGGCTCCCGCGGACGCCGTAGCATTATCTCGTGAATCATGTGGCATAGTTAAACATTGTGATGTGACATGGGGTGTTCGTAGGTCGGCCCGTCACGAAGGCCTGTCACCTGCCTCGAGTTTGTCCGTGTTCTGCAACCCGCAAAAGCGAGCAGTACCCAATCACCACGTGGAGGAACGGACTTCACCACCATATGAGTGACACCTACAATTACTTATTATTACATTTTTTACTTTTGTTTGGTTACATTCATATAATGCACCATTGCACATAAAGCAGAAAAATGAGCTTTTTTGACAAATAATCTTCAGAGGAACGGGAATATCTGCTTCACAACTCCTCCAACGGACGCTATGGTACTCTCTCGTTTACATGTATTGAGGACATCGGACCACAAACAGCGCTCTTCTGGCACCAGATTTACGCAGGATGAAATAGTGGACCTGAATGAGGTAGCTTCGCAAAAGTGAGTAGAGCAAATCATCCAACAAAGGTACTGGAGGACTGGCACATACCTAATACATTGTGGCACGTTTATTCTACTTGTCGATAGGTCCAATTCTTCGGAAGATGAACTCCTAAACAAACGGCTATTTTGGGTTCTGCAAGCAGAGCACCGATGGATGACGTGAATCTAAACAATTCCCTCGAAGCAGGCAACCGAAAGACCAAGCGGTTCGCCTGCAGCTCGGAAATGCTACAAAAAATAGCATAAAATGTCCAGCGCAGATCAACTCCATTCTGGGGTGCACCACGCCTACAGCAGCCAGCTGATGGGAAAGTGAGAGTATTTCATATTCTCAGTAGTCTAATACAGAGTACTGGGCCTCCCAGTGATTAAAGACTTGGTTGGCTATGGCGAGATTCAGTCCGCCCTTCAGTCCCCAGGTGCTCAGCGCTTGGTTAGTGGCGTAACTTTTCACTAGGACAAGTGCCACCTCTATAGCTGTGGACCCGTTTACCTCGCACATGGCAAGGTACGCTTTCTTAGGGGAAAGCGTACGCTGTAGAGTTTATATCTAGGCAAACCGATAGGGCACTTCGAAAAGGGTGAGTATGAGCGCAGCGGAGGCTGCGTTTTCTACCAGCTGCCGGTTAGGATGGACAGGTAATGGTAGAAAGTGAAAATGGTTGCGCTTTGATCTGCTTCCTCTGCCAGGCCCATCGATTCGCCGGGATATGGACTGTATCTTCCGAATGGATGCGCGCGACGGACTATGATGGCGCTCTTAAGGCTAAGCGATGTCGTCGTTAGTAGAGTAGTAAATCACCTTTCGTAATCCATCAGAACGAGATCATTGGACAAGACTGCTTCGAGAAACGAGTGCCTGTTACAGTGCCTGCAAGATGCACATAAAAACTGCAAATGAAAGTTCCAGCGGCTCATTCTTGTTGCCTGCTGTCCACAGGAGGGAGTGCCCTAGGACTTTGGCTCGGGGTGTCTACGGACAGTTGCCAGATTAGACAGAGTCGTAGAGAGCCCTGCACGCACAATGCGCAGGCGTCACGATTACGTTAGTGAGCTTTTCGCAAGTCACTGCCTGAACCGGAAATTGTCCATGCGATTACGGTCTTATCCGCTGCGGACGCTCGGTCCTG